CAACACCCAAGCATCTTTTATGCCCTACCTTTATCCAACAAGATTCTGCATAATCTGCTGGTTTGATGTTCCAACATCTGGTAGGATATCAGTTCCCTTCACAAGGAACACGCCAAGAGATCCTCTATCAAAGCCTGGAGATTAGCCTTGTAGGGTTGGAAGCAAAAATAAATTACTTCTACTAGATCACTTTTCAATAAACTCATATAAGAGTGCCTTTATGAGTGGACTTGGGATAAACCGCAAGTATCTTTGGCAACTCTAACAAGCTATTATAACCTCTCCTCAAGTATCACCATACCATGGGATACACTTTTAGAGGAGAATAGTGTGTTGCAGTCTCAACACATCAAACCACCAAGAGTTTTCCATCAGATATACATGCAGCGGAACACAAAACTGAAAACTCCTCAACAACCTTTAGGCACAACACAAACCCTTGCATAAACACACCATACTCCAGGTGCAACGGCTTAACCTAGGTTTGAAAATAAATCAAAACCTTGACACAATAGCTTGCAACTAAGGCTACACGCCTGAAAACAACAGACATGTCCAGCACAACCCTGACACGAATAGTCCATCCGCAACTTTTAGGGACCATTCAAACAACAATATGAACTCTCTAAGTTCAAATAGATTTTTAGTAATACCTCCTTCCTTTCCCATGAACCAGAAAGTATCATCCCAGGATCTCACCTAGAAACAGAACAGGATGCCAACTTTGATATCAATAGAAATTATGGTATAACAGAACTCAGATGTCCTATGACATATTGGGACATATGATCTGAACATAACAAACGCAGACATGGTATAAACATATAAAACAGTACTGAAAAGCATAAACAACATACAAGAATTGTTAACTCAGTTCGGAGAAACTCTCCTACTCTAGGGGCATACCAAGCCAGGGTAAGTCCATTATGGTAGTATCAATTAATAGACCCTACAATAAACATACCAGTTTACAGTCTACTCACTTAATCACTACTCGTGTTATACTTTTATCTAAGACTCGCCTAAATATGAGGCCCTCCTCAATCCCTCGTCAATCATAGACAACGATTGGACATAAACAATTCTAAACAAATAGCAAGACACACTTCCATGACAATACCTAACTAAGACTCAAAGTTAAACTCCCATGTTTACAATTTTTCTCCTAACTAAGAACAACAACTTAGAGTTTCTTTAAAGCTTCCTCCAAGAACCATACTCAACTCATTACCTACAGGTTTTTAAGTGAGAACACAATGACCATCTTACAACCCGAGTGGTTCACTTACACCAACTCTCCTAGAGAGTGGCTATAAAGTCAGCCCTAATGATTACATCTTTTCAAAACACGGCTAGTACATTTCTTAGGTTACAAAGACTACTATTTATAACCTATATCCCAACTGGATTTGGGCCTTCAATCACAGCTCATCAGCTATTACAAACCAGCAAAAACTTCTGCTAGAAACAAGGTCTTCAATAATTTATTTCCTAAATAATCTCCATATTTAGAAACTTCATAATCTTCAATATTCTGACTTGATTCTTCTTGACCTTTAATTCAGTGCCAGATAAGATTGCATAATATTTCTAGAATATTTTGCATCAATTAAATCATAACAGAATCTAACTGTCCACTTCAGGTCAGGCGCGATGTCATATACTCCTTCATATGACATCTTATACAACATGTTATTCCAGATGATGAGAACTTCTCATATCAACATGTTTAAACATAAGATAAGTCTTCTTGCTCAACATGTTCCTGTTAGCAAGTTAACATCTCATATCTAACATATTGTTGCTATATTTGTTTTACTAAAATTAATGCCAATCCTAAAATTAGAGAATTAACAGCTTTTACCCCTCCCTCTCTCTCTAAAGGGGACGATGTTTTGATTCCTTTGAAGCTTAATGGATCTCTTTCCGACCAAGTGGCCCAGTTGGTGAAGACTGTGAAGATGAAGGATTAAGCGTTAGCCATTGTTCAAAGCAGTCAGGGGGTTTCTCACATGAAAATAGAGTTCTTGTGCTCCCATAATGCTTTATTAGCTCGAGAGCTAGATGAGTGTAACAGAAACCTTCGAGGCTGTTTCGCAGTTATTTGAAAATGCTTTGGATAAATTAGAGTATTTTCACCACCCGCTGTCAATTTCTATGGAGAAAATCCAACTCAATCTAGCCATTATGGATAGGGAGATCGTTTTTCTGGGAAAATAGGCTTGTCAGGATTCCATTCTGAAACTTTATTTTCTCTCTCTCTCTCTCTCTCTCTCTCTCTCTCTATCTCTCTCTCTCTCTCTCTCTCTCTCTCTCTCTCTCTCTCTCTCTCTCTATCTATCTATCTATCTATCTATCTATCTATCTATCTATCTCTCTCTCTATCTATCTATCTATCTCTCTTTATCTCTCTATCTCTCTCTTACTTTTTTTGTAAGGTCATACTTAATAATGTAAGAGTATGTAGGAAATACATTTTTATTGGATGCCATACTTTTGTCACCTATTAAACGCGTTTTTTACAGTTAGAAGCACATGGCTTTAGATTTCACGAATTTAAGAGGTCTTTCCTCTTGGTTGATGCAACGTCATCATTACACTACTTTAGTATGATTACGAAAATAAATTTTTGGCCCTTATGAAGTTGTGCGGTCTTTCCTTACGGTTCATCAGACATCATTGTGACAATGGAAGGAAAATAAATTTAATATGTTTCAAATACTTGTTTTGAGGTATGAGCGTGATCCAGAGGGAAAGGCTCTGGATATTTGAACTTGCAAGGTCTAACCTCAAAGTTTATTCAACGTTAGTGGGGATGTTACCAGCCAAGGGTCGATTCCTCTCCCCCTACTAGATGAAAACTTAGTAAGAGGTAGACGCGTGGCCAACTCATCACAACATATAGTGTGGATAGCTTCCATACGGGGGTGGGTCATTATTACTGGTGGGACCTGATTGCTTTAGTCAGACATACAAATTGTCTTTGTCAACACTCCTGACTTTAGGTGAGGGTTGATTTCTTTAGCCAGATGTACAAGGTGACAGTAATCTTGACTTTATGTGGGGGATTTATTTCTTTAGTAAGACGTATAAAGCGTCTCTGACAGCACCCCTGACTTTATGTGGGGGATTTATTGCTTTAGCTAGATGTATAAAACGTCTCCAACAACACCCATGACATTATATGTGTCGGGCATCAATGTCTTTGGTCGTACCCCAAACATCATGTTGCTATGCATATTTATAAAGAAAAAAGCTTCTTAGTAAACAATATTTATCTTGTCGTTATATCGTGGTACAATCATATAAATGGTAAATGACTTAAGCATAGCCTTTTGTATGATTGAGGAACAAAAAACATAAACAGTCGGGGTAACCTCCATTTATTTATTCGCTTCTTATGGCTTCTTTAGCCATTTCTTGGGGGGTGATACCCATCATATAGTTGTTTGATGAGGGAAGTGACGTTTAGCTTCATCGTTATTCCTTCTCCTTGATCTTTTTGAAGAGCTTTGTATATTCTATTTGCTCCCTCAAAATCAACATTATGGTAGCTGGTTCTCCCTATAAATTGTGGTATTTAGGTTTGAGGTGGACCAATGAAGCAACAACGTCTAGCATGGGTTCAAAATGTCGTCTCAAGATGTAATTATACACACTTCTGCAAGGAAAAATAAGAAAATGAGAATTTATTTCCGGAATGTCTTCTTCGCTACTGACGAAAACTACTAGCTCTACATATCCCCGAGGATAGGTTATATTTTTTTCGAACACTTGGAGGTCTGAGACTTTATATGCCAGTAATTTTAATTGGTCTAGGCTCATATTCTCGAATAGCTCTAAGTACATGATGTTGTAGGAGTTGCCGCAATCGATGAAGATCCAAGATACATCAGACTTTCCAATTGTGGAAATAATCACTAGGGGAACAATACATTTCAAAATACCTCTGACCTTTTCTGAATCCTAGAACCCCAACATAGGACGGTCGGGAACTTTTACAAACATATTTCCCTATTTATAGTAGACAACAATGTGTTCTTCCTTTTCATCTTCCCTTTGGAGGGGAAATTCGCCAAAGGTGCCCCTTCTGTAATGGTAGAAATATAGGGGCGTTTGTCTTTGTTGGCCTCTTTGTTCTCCTCACATGTCCCTGTTGTGGTGGTCTTTGTGAGGGATTTACCTCTAGGAGATTCCTCTATGTCTCGCTTTCCTCCTTTCACGTATTCAGCCAGCCGACCCCTCTTTATCAACTATTCCATGGTTAGGCATGGCATCAAAACCCGTACCCGCGAGTACCCACTTAAACCTGCCTCAAAGTTGATGGGGAAAACTAGCTTTGATTGGGTTTAGATTTGGATTTAGGTTTTCCCCGATTACAAAATATGGGGACGAGTCGGATGATGGGGACGCTAGTACCCACCTCGAACCCGCCCTGTTTATTTTATTATGTATATTATTATTTATTTTTTATCATTCAGAATATTAAATATGTGGCAAATGTTTTGATAATTTGATTTGTATATTATTTAAAATATTTGAAATCTATGTATGGAATTTTTTGAGATTGTTTTATTTTATTATTTATAATGTAATTTTATTTTGGAAAAAATAAATATTTCTATTACAAAATTAATTTTACTAAATGGATGGTGGTGAGCGGGGATACCCGAACCCAACCCAAACCCGTTTGGGATGGGTTTGGGTTTTAATTCTCCATCCTCATATGGGTTTAGGGCAGGGAACGAGGATTGTTTGAGGATTAGGGTTTGGGTTTGGGGAAGGTAAAAACCGTCCCCGCCCCGCCCCGTTGTCATGCCTATCCATGACATACTTCAAATGGATGCAGTCATATGTGTTGTGGTTGTGGCTTTTATAGAATCGACAATACTTTGATCTATCTGTTTGTGATGTCTCTTAGACGAGATATAAATTTCGTATTCTCGCATTTAGAATTTCGGTATACATACACTCTTGATATATCCTCTCACAAAAGACCATCAGTGGAGTGTATCTGTCATATTTCCCTTGCATGTTTCGGTTAGGATCATCCTGACGTCGGTGATATTCTTTTTAGACGAAAGACCAGAGTAAGACTCGCTAGACGTAGGGTTATCAAAATGTGCGGTCAACTTTTCTTCTAAAATCATAAAAGGTTCTACCACAGTCAACATCTCATGAACAAATTTGACCTTCCTTTCCCCAGTTTTTTCCTGAATGGATGGTTGCTCAAAATCCAGTTCTCAAATATTCATCAATGTAAGCCTTCTTGAGCCCTTATCTACTTCATTTGAGACTTGAGTAAATTGATCGATATACGACCATAAGCTTTCTTTCATCCTTTTAATGATCCATGTCAGAGTAGCCATAATGATAGGTCGTCGCTTATGGGATGTGAATTACGCCAAAAACCTCTTACAAAATTCCAACTAGGAATCAATGCATCCATCAGGTAAGTCATTGAACCATAATCGAGTTGGTCATACCATGGTTAGCACAAACAACTTGCATTTGGATGTGTCATCGGCACCAAAGTAATTGAACCACTCATCTACTAGTTTCACGTGTTCATCAAGATCTCCATTTCTATCATAATCAGTTAGCTTGGGCGTCTTCTCCATAGACTTTGAGGTCCTTCTTTCTAAATTTCGTTTCGACAACGGGTGCTTTGGTTGCATCTTAAATGGGTGAATTTATTCTTAAAATGGGGTCAGAGGTTAACTTCCTCGGTCTCCTCTGGGGCTCAGGGGGAAGTTTGATGATTTTTACTTCTACACTGATCCTTTGACCAGGGAACCTCATTTCCCTTCGTTTCGACTAGTTTCGAGATCACAATGCGGGTCTTTCTTGAAACAGCTTCTTGAATTGTATTCTCGCGGGAGGGAGCTTTGTGGAGGATTTCTTCAAGGCATTGAAGCCTTTCTTCAATAGCATTTAAATTATATTCTCGAGCAATATTGAACACGTTGTTCAGTAACTCATTGGTGCCTTGTATGTCAAGGTTTGCTTGTAGCATGTGAAATCTAAGTAAGGTTTCATGATATGTAGTTGGAACTAAAATAGGAGTCTCCACCAGATTGATCAAATTTGACCTTGCCACTTGTAGATCTCGAACTTCGTCCAAATGTGAAGGAACTAACGCTCTAGGATCTGATGTGTTTTGTTGTGGAGGAAGAGGTGGTTGATTACTTACTCTTAAGGTAGCAGTGGCCGCTTTTCGTATGGCGGTGGATCTGGTAATCTTGGATCCATCCATATTTGTTGAAGATGAAAATCAGTGATCCAAAAATTTTGAAGAAGTAAGAGTGAAGTTACGCTAAGTCGAATAAGAACCCGATAGATCATCGTGTTCGATTATGATTACTTGCTCCGAAAATCAAAAGGAGTAATTAACTGTGAAATTCGAATGATGAACACGAATTTATGGAAATAGTAGGAATCAAGAATTGATTCTCACAGACGGCGCCACTGTTTTGTTTGGGAACCAAAAATGAAAAGTTTAAGCAGAGATGGCAGTAGACCACAACATCCAATGTAGTGGAGTGGGGTATCTGCAAGATAAATACTCCAACGCTCAAGCAAGCATGTGATATTTTATTTTTGTTCTAATTTTTATATTTATTTACCTATATTTTACTTCAATCACTTTTCAGTTGAAAGTATGACAAATATTATATATAATATCTATTAAACTTATAAATTAATTTTATAAACTTTTTATCTTTAATAATAATTCAATAATATATTCTCGTGTGATGCACAAATAGACTACTAATACTCAATCTAAATAAATAATTGGGTCTGGTTAGTCCTTTTTAATCGGATAATATATATTTTTAAATAAAAAAATAACAATATTTTATAATTATTATTATTTTTAATCTCTTAATTAATTAAATACCCATGCGCCTGCATGAGTTAAAATAATTGTGTACAGTAGAATTGTATTCAAATGCATATTGAAAACAATATTTATACATGTTTTATTGATTAGATCTAATTGATTGTGTCCCGTATGAAATATTTCAATCATATTTTCAAATTAAAGACAAATGAAAATGGATGATAGTCTAACAGCTATCAAATAACAACAAATTATCTTGACGATAAAAATATTGAAATACATAATAATTTCGTAGTGTAGTGAAAATATTATAATACATAATATCTAAATGATTTAAGACTATTGAAAAAATATTTATGCAGTTTTTTTTTTTAAATTTAACTGATCGTGTCTTGTGCTATTTCTTGATATTTTCCTTAGTCACCTATAAAAATTTAAATTCTAAGTGATCAATTATGTTATTAAAAATAAACATGCCTAAAAATTAAGTGACTTATCATTTGGATTGAATAAATAGAGCTTCAAGAAATCATCCTCTTATAATTACGTATAAGCTAATTACATCTTGATAATTTGAATTACTTTAGGCATTATCTTGATAGATATTCATGTCTAACTCCAACCAATAACTACAAAGTAGTTAAATTTGATGCAAAATCAAGTGGACTGATTCAACTGAACAAATTTTAAATGGTTGAAAATCAGTAATGTGCTAATATTATTCATGTCATTGTTTATGTTTCAAAAGGGAGGTGTATGTGCTCCTAAATATTAAGTATGGTAATGCTTGAAAAAAAGATAATTTTTATTTACACTTAGTAGTGTTGTTTTTTATCACTGAAAATTTGAAAATATTCTTTGGATATGCACATCTGAATGCACCTATCAGCATGTTTCAGATGTGCATAGCCGAAGACATCTTTCTTCCACGTTTTAATACTTAAATATTAGATTTTAAATTCTTGAGGTAGTTTCGGATATGCACATCCGAAACATATTGATAGGTGAGTTTGAATGTGCATATCTGAAACCACCATTTTCATATTAGAATGTTGCATGGTCACCTATTCCACCTATTTAATTCATTTCATTTTCTCTCATAATCAAAATCCTCAACAAAACTTCAATCATTCTCAATGGAATTTTCATCTCCAAATCAAGTTTTAAGTGTTTCAGTATAGCAAAGAGAGCATAGAAAGCTGCAATTTAAGGTAAACTTTCATTATTTCATCATACATTTCCTGCATTGAAGTTGATTTATTGAAGAAGAAAACATAGTCGCTTCGGATATGCACTTCTGAATTCAACCTACCATAATTTGGATGTGCATATCTGAAAACATGTCTGTTACAAAACCGTAATTCTGTTTTAACAGAATTCATGTTTTTTTGAACATGTTAGGTATGGTGCACCCTGACAATATTGTCAAAGTTATCTTAAAGGTTCCTGATAAGGTCAACGAAGATGCTAAGCCGAATGAGGTGAAGGACATTGATAAAACAAATGATGTTGTAATAGATTATGGACAACAATTTCAAAATGATAAAAGTTTCACCTCTCGTCAATATATGCTAAAGATTCATCCGATCGCATCATGTATATTAGGTACCTTAGATCACGCCATTTTGTTCAGGTTTATTTGAAATTGGAGTGTCCTATTCCGGTTACATCCGTGGAATGGGTAGCACATCATGCAAAAGAGGCGGAAACTTCGTCGGATCATTTTTTGGAAAGGATGGTAGAGTTCACCAATTTGATAGAGCTTGAGAGAGAATCAAATAGGGAGAAGTCGAAGAAAGAACCAGTTTTAGATTTAAACGGTGACAATTAGTTTGGTGTATTTTAGAATGTAATCGAATCATTTTTTGAATTTATTGTCGTACACATTGTAAAATCTATATGTTTCAATACATATATAACATATTATCTATATTTAGTTTTACTATTGTTTATTTTTTCCATGTCTCTTTGGTACAAGTTATTATACTTATTATGGTTATGCACATAAGCATTCATGCTTATTCTGGTTTTGTATAATTCGAAAGTGCACTTCCGAATTAACCTTCAATTTAAAAAAAAACACATGGCTTATTTCTGATATGAACTTTCGAATTCACCTCATATTTTTATTAAAAAAACATGGTGTTTTCGGATGTACAAATCTGAAAACCCCTTATTTTGGTAAAAATAAGTTTAATTCGGATGTGCACTTTTGAAATATGTCCTGATAAGGTTTCTTTGGTCCATATTGCTCCAAAAAGGCTATAAATTGAGTCTCCAAATTATTTCATTCTATATCACAAACCCCAACCAGAAAAGACACAAACATATCCACACCTTACTTTTGTCTACTTCAGTGGTGCGTAACCGCCACTTCAATTCAGGTTCTCGCAAGACACGTCATTCACCGAGCTCATTACCATATTGCATTCTCTCTTGTAATATCCAGAGACACAAAAGGCGGTCAAGCTTGAGTATCATTCACCTTCATTTGACATGGAAGGAAACGTAAGTTCACCCTATTTGAGCTCAAGAACAATGACGATTTAGAGGTTATGTGGGATACCTTTCAACGTTATTCTTCTAAGGGTCTGATTGAGATGGATGTGAAGCTTCAAATATCAGCAGAAGATGTTATCAAAATGTTGCGACGTCCCCAACTTCTTATTTTTAACAATATGTAACTTTAATTTTATGCAGAACTATTTATATAATTTCTTTGAATTATGTTGAATGAAAGTTATGAATCATATTGAATAATGTTGATTGTTCTGACCATTGATAAATTCGGATATGCATATCTGAAATAGGCTAACAGATGAATTCGGATATACATATTTAAAATAAATTAGATAAATCACGTTGGTGGTGCGTTCGCATATGCATATCTGAATTCATGAGGTATTTTGGGTTTTTTGCTAGAGGTCTGGAAGAAGAGTACTAACAGCGGAAAGAAATTCTCTTGAAAAAATTGACGGTTTAGTAAAGTATTGTTAATCCTTAAAATATTCTTTTCCTTAAAACATAATAAAGGGATTTTTTCAAACAAAAACATATTAAAGGATTATATATATATATATATATATATATATATATATATATATATATATATATATATATATATATATATATATATATATATATATATATATATATATATATATATATATATATATATATATATATATATATATATATATATATATATATATATATATATATATATATATATATATATATATATATATATATATATATATATATATATATATATATATATATATATATATATATATATATATATTATTGGTGCACAAAGGAGAGGAGAGATGAAAGACAAAATGAATATATTAAATGACGGCTACAAAATAAGGAGTAATGAATACATTGACCTATCTACTACTAGACTATTTACACACAATATTAGGATATAATGAAATATTAAAATATCCTCTAATAGACTTAGTCAACAAGACATTCCTAAAATATAAATTATTTCCAACATCATCCCTTAATTTATATTTACATAAAACTCACAACACCAATTCCATCCCACAACGAAAAAAATTGACCAGTCTTGATAGTCTTTGTTAGAACTTCTGTCATCTGCTTCTGGGTGTTATAGTGTATAACTTCTAATATTCCACTCTGAACCTGATTCCCCAAAAAGTGATATCGGGACTCAATATGCTTGCTTCTCCCATGCAGCATTGGGTTCTTGGCAAGATTGATTGGAAACTTCTTATCAATCATCAACTTTAGAGGCTTGTTTACCTCAATCTTCAGATCCTGCAGCAAGTTCAGAATCTACACATCTTGACATGCAGTCAGAGCGCCTGCAATATATTCAGCTTCATAGGTTGACAGCGTAAGAACAGGTTGCTTCTTGGAACACCGAGAAATAGGACCTCTCAAAAATTTAAATAAGTACCCAGAAGTACTTCTTTTGTCAACTCTGTCTCCACACCAATCAGAGTCTGAATAACTCTGAAGTTCTGATTCGGTCTTTCTTCCAAAAGGAAATAACACTCCATACTTCATAGTTCCCTTCACATACCTCAGAATCCTGACAGCAGCCTGATAATGAGACAACTTTGGTTTACTCATAAATATGCTAGCCATTCCAACTTTATAGAAAATATCAGGTCTGGTATTACACAAATACCTCAGAAAACCAACCAATTGTTTGAAGGTTGTATTATCCATACCCTCTCAATCAGAATTAGAGTCCAACTTCTGATTCGTATCAACAGGTGTGATAGAAATTATGCAATTTTCAAGCTTAAATCTCTTTAGAAGCTCAAGTTCATATTTCATCTGATGCAAAATGATTCCTTTCTCAGATTACATAAACTTCATCCCTATAAAGTAATTCATTTTCCCATGATCTGTCATCTCAAAATCATTCATCA